AACACGTATAAAATTCATCAGAGAACTTCAGGACGCTGATAGCTGCGCTCTAGTTGCAAAAACATTACAGCAATTACAAGAACTGCAACTAGTAAACTGCTTCAGAATGAGAAACTCGACATCATTGAGTCCACAAAAGCTCTAAAAGCTATCGACGACTATTTTGTCAAAATAAGGACTGACGACCATTTTAGAGAGATATTAGTGGATGCTGCAAAGCTGGCAGAAGAGCTGGAAATTGAAGCAGTTTTTACTAATGACATTAGAGCTCGTCCCAGAAAAAAAACTAGACAGTTTTTGTATGAATAAGTGGATGAGCCAATTTTAGATCCACAGGAAAAGTTTAAAATCGAATTTTTCTTTGTTGTCCTGGATACAATCCATGAGGCTCTCCAAGAAAGGTTTGACCTGTTAAAAGCTCACTCGGGTTATTTTTCGTTTTTGACTTCACAGTTCTCAGGAATATCAACCGAGAGGAAATAACAAAGCATTATATGGATCTTCATCTCTATTTAACGGACGGAGACAAACATGATATTCTTCAGTTATCCAAAACAAACACTAAAATATTTAAAAATTCACGATCTGATTGGAAACTTTCCAAATATTTACATCTCCATTAGAATCTTATTAACGCTGCCGGTTCCAGTGGCAACCGGAGAGAGAAGTTTTCCTAAACTCAAAATAATTTAGAATTACCTGAGATCAAGTATGACACAAGAACTATTAAGCGGATTATCTTTAATATCTATTGAGCACAAAATAGCGAACAGTCTAAACATCGACGATTTTATTTCAGAGTTTGCCGAAAAAAAAGCAAGAAAAAAGTTTAAGTTTTGTCCATGTTAGGAATTTTGTTTCTCAGGATTATGTGTATGTATTTATTACGAACTTTGTTTTGTTAATAATTTATAATAATTTATATTATCTAGTTTTAGGTGTTAGTTTGGCTAATGTACCTTATAATGTTTTTTTATTCTTGTTAGGTACCACGTGACGCTCCTTTTAAATACAAAATTTAAATGCTAATTCTGAAAATCTTGTAATATTTATTTCCTTTTTTTTCGGAAAGCGTTTAATAATATTTGTATTTTAATAAAACACGCGTTTAGACGTATCAAAAAAGTTTTAATAAGAGTAACTTTAACTCTACATATATGTTTCGGCTTGTTAGGCCTTTTTCAAGAGTTTTTTAAGAACTAATCGTCTAACTACACTGTAACTATATATATATTTGCTATGGGGGTGGGTTCAGAGAGTTTACAATAGGGGTAATAAAAAATGTGTTTAGAAATCCTTGTTGGTCGTTACATTATTTTCGTTTTTAACAGATTTTAGTATTTCTAACTGTTCAATGTAATTTAAACGTCTACCTTTTGTTTCTCTGTGTAGTAACTTAATTGAGTTTTCATTAATTTTGTGATTATTTACTATACAATGAGTTGCAAGACCAGAACTATGCTGGAGATTATTAATATACTTTACATGTTCTTTAATCCTTATATCTAAATTTCTACCTGTTTGGCCTATGTACACGGCATCACAGTATTGCAATCCACCCTATATACACCCGACTTATTTTTGACATTAGTTTTGTCTTTATTATTTAATAAAATTTGACCTAAATTTCTTTTATTTACGTTAATAGTTTTACATCCTATTTTATTGAGATTATTTGATATTTTGTTAGTTAAATTAGGAATGTAGTTTAAAAGTCGGTAATTGCTATTGTCTTTAGAATTAGCGGAATAAAAATGTTTCATTAATATTTTCTTTAGTATTTTCCTTAGCATATTATCAAAAAGGGAACACTTATATCCATTGTTGATGGCGATTTGTTTAATAATATTCAACTCTTTTTTAAAATTATCTGGGGGCTCAGCGGAAACATTACTAATCTATGAATTAAACTATGAAAGGGTGACATTTTGATAATTGATAATATTTCATAATATTTTTTTACCGTCTGTGGCTCCACTTTCATAATTTTTTTTCACACCTGATTCTTAAAAAACGATTGTCTGTAGGGGGGGTGCATTTTTTCGGGCTTGCTCCAGGCGGCCAACAGTCTAAGGACGGCCCTGGAGACAACATCACGTATCGGTCTTTTCAATCACTGAAAAGCCCATGAAAGAAAACGCCTTGCGTAACCATCTTCTGATGCGTATCAAATACTCGTCAGCAAGTAATGGCAGTAAGTAAGTAACAGTATAAAAAGTTTAGCATAAATGCTCTGAATATTTTCTCTAGTATTCAGAGCAGGCCTCGTTTATGGATCGCGGCGTACCTAAAGGGCGATATTATATTATTTCCGAAATCCATTCGTCGGTATAATTAGTGGGATTCGTCTGCAATGGCAAACAGTAGAACGGGAAATATACGTTCCGGACGCTAATTATCAATTAGAATTAACAATTCGGGCATTTACATCGAGGCAATCCTGTAATCCTAAAAGCTCGTCTTTGTCGGAGGATTTGTAACACTACGTAAAACAGCTTTACGAAGTGCAGAGTTGTGTCGTCCGTTTGACGGTTTCAAACAAACTGTCGCGCGGTATCAGCTTTCTCCAGTTCCGTTTTTTATTCCAATTAAAATCCGCTGGAATTATCAGTATTTCCTACCAAAAAATGGGCTTCGAATGTGGATAAATGTGTGGAATACATGTGCATATAAAATTGCAGATAGTCTGCAGTAGTCTTTTTGTTCAAGAGTTTTGTGAGGTACTGTGCAAAGTCCAAATAGATCCTGAAATGTTACTAGAACATTTTTGTATCAATCAATTCAATTTTAGTTTTTGTTTGAATAGTTACTATTAGAAGCAATTTAGTTACTGTTAGAAGCTATAGAGATGGATTTTTGGAGGAGATGGAGCTGGCAAATCAAGATTCGAACCAATAACTAATGAACGCATAAGAGAGATTATGGAAGTTCAACATACAATAGTGGAAGAGATAGGGAACAACATGGTACGAGCATATCCAAAGAATAAGAGAAATATGAATCCCAAAGTAAATTATAAACTAAAAACGTGCAGGAAGAAAAAAAGCGGGTAGACCTAGAAGAAGTTGGCAGGAAGTGACTGAAAATTATGGAAGAAAAAGCTCGGTGCATGGAGAGACAGAGCGGCATGGAGAGGTGGCAAGAGAAAATGTACACATTTTGAACCAATTAATATACAGGGTGGTCCGAACTGTATTCCAGAAACTTCGGCAGCATATTCTGCAGATAAAAATAAGTAAAAAATTCGTATAAATGTATGTTCAAAAATGCTTACTGCTGGAGATATAGGGTGTAGAAATTTCGTTTTTATTTCGATTTTTTCCAAATAATTTCTGAAGTAACGTCAATATTTGGATGAAAATTGGTGTAAAAAATGTATCTTGGTAAAAATCGCTACTAGCAACCGTCTCAAGATATTTAGAATGGAAATAGTCAATACATATCGTTATTGACAAAAAATTAACAATGTTGAGTAGATAGTTATTTGAGTGAAATGATAAATTTGCGAACTTTTTATTTTTTTAAATTGATCATAAATTTTTCTTCGGAAGAATGATGATAAAACCAAGAACGGTAAACTAATAGGATTGCTCATCCTCATAAGACGTACGTTCGCCTCTTCCCGCGCTTCAGCTGACAGTTGTGACGTCATTGTAGTCCTTGTCATGATAGTGTGTATTTTTAGTTGCCTATGGTAAACTTATAAAAATAACAGCTGAGAAATTTTGAGTTAATTATTTTGTCAATTTTAAATGCGAAAATGGTGTCTAAAGTTTTTAGAGCTATAGAGTGTATAAATACGTTCATTTTGTGTTGTGGGTTGTGACAAAGTGCTTACTAAGTGCCTACGATATTGTTTATTATTTATTTTAAAGCAAAATATGGAAGTACTCTCAAAAGAATGCTTGCAAAAGGTGATGTTGGGAAAGTTGTTTTTTATGACGATGTGCAAACGAGTCAAATTTCCTATGCGCAAAAATAAACTCGCGTAAAATAACAATAAACAGCGTAATAGAGAGATATCGCTAAACCGAATAGCGTGCATGGACGTTAATAAGGCCAGGTGTTATTTCCTGTACGTGAGGTGGTATTAACTCTCTTCATTTATAGTTATCGGATTGGAAAAAATTCTGATCGCGTCGCGTCCGCTATTTAAACTTAACCTAACTTTGAATTTAAAACTTAGAAATTGTTTTGTTTACTAGGTATTTTAAAACTAAAGGGCTAAAGTGCTTATTTCCAGTGCTTTATTGTTCAACGTCTGCCAGTGGGTTTAGGGCAACAAGCAACAAATTCTCTTAGAAGGTCTAAGTCATCATCTGCTGTAAACCTAAGACTCTTTATAGGTTCTTTAGTATTGGAAGAGGTGGAATCCATATTTTGGGCCATATTTATTTAATTAAAACTAATCCCAGCTACTTAAATATCAAATTACCTAATAAAACTAAAGCAATAATTCAAAACAATTCAAACATAACCTAAAATAAAAGATCTCGCCGGCCGGCTCCGGTTGTCAAATACCCGCACATCCCATTTAAGCAATTTTTAAACGTTATCAGAGGTTATTTAGAAAGAGCGCTTATAAGAAGGAGCGCTTTGTGTAATTGATCCGCAAATTACGTCAGGCGGTAACGTTATTAGCGGGTATTGCGTTAAAAATTGACTCGCGCATATCGTAACCATGATAAGGTACGCGTAAATACTGGATGACTCTATTCGGTTTTCCGATATCTCTCTAATAACTGTGCCGGTCAGGCGCTGTGCACAATTTTAGAGGCCATAAGAGGGCGTGCTATGTGCGCAAACTAGTCACCTATCTAGTGCCCGATTCCGAAAATTGGAACCACGAAAAACAATAAAGAAAAAACAAAGATTATAATCTGTATAATCTGTGGTTCTATCATAACTTTTTTAGGACAACCTTTGTACAAATAAAGGATATTATGAACTGAATTAGCAGGTTATATAAACTAAAAGAATTATGTCTTAATTACCCATTCGGCAATTTTTAATCTTTGGGTTTTGTTTAATCCATTCTCGCATTGATTCTAAAGCGGAAGCCCTGGAGTTTTCCTCTTCCCTCAGCTCCTCCCTAGCGATTTCTTGAGTTTCCTTTGACAATGGACATACGTATACATCAGGTTCGGTTACCCACTTTCTGTCAGACATTTTGTGTTATTTTTTCCTACAAACAAAATTAAAATTGTGTAATTGTGACACTTTAGAAAAAAATAGGAAACAATGTACCGGGTGTTTTCCAAATGTGGCTCACCCCTTTAACTCTTGAATTTTTTCATATTAAAAACGAGATTTGGTATGTTATAGTATACCTATGACATAAATCAGGATTGAGTAATCAACTAGTTTTGGTATAAAAAAAACTAGGAACAAACTAGGAAATCCCATGTAAATTTTAATGGGGTCAATTATTGACTTCCCTAATTATTTTAGAGAATAATTCTATTTAGGTTTATTGAAGAGCACTAAAACCCACATTCAAAAGAATAACTTTAGATATTTTTGATTAGCTCGTTCACTAGTTAACGCCGATTTCTTTTTAAATATTTCTCCTTTCTTATGGCCCTGTATTTACTTATGAGCACCAGTCAAGGTAATAGTTAACTGTCAAATGAAGTCATTGAAATTGAAATTGTCATTTCAGAAATTTACCTATTTAGTGCTTTATTATTATTGAAAACTCATTCCTGCATCGGAAATCTTAAAGATGTATTTATAAATACAAATTAATATGAATTAAAGTAAAATAAAGTAATCAATTACAAGGTTAATTATAGTATTATTACAATATTCAGTAACTTATTAATTTAGGTACTATTAAATTGTTAGAACTTTAGGATTTAAGAAGATGTTCAAATATTCCTCCATCGACTGCTAGGTAATAACCCAGGCGATCATAAAATTCTCTTCTGACATTCGCTAGTTGGTAAACTGAAATTCTATTGCATTCGGCAGAAATAGCATTTTTCAACTCGTCTAGATTTGGGTATTTTTTATCCTTGTATATCCTGTTTTTTAAATGGCCCCAGAGAAAGAAATCATTTGGCGAAATATCAGGAGACCTTGCTGGCCAATTTACTGTATGATTTAGGCCAATAACGTTTCCGTTAAAACTATTGTCTAAATATTCCCGAACAGCCAGGGTACTATGTGCCGGGCAGCCATCCATTTCGTACCAAACTTCCTGATTTTCCCTAGCGGCATCATGTAAAGCAGGTAAAATATGATTTTTGAGTAGTTCCAAATAATATTCTGCATTTAAATTTCGCGTAAGAAATAATGGCCCGATAATATTGTGTCCGAATATCCCTGCCCAAACATTTACTTTCTTTGGATATTGCGCCCTGGTTTCCACAAACCTGTGTTGGTTTTCTTTGTTCCAATATCGATAATTTTGAACATTGGGTTCATTATTTAATGTAAAAGTGCATTCATCAGTAAAACATATGTTTTTTAAAAATTCCCTATCCGTGTTTGCTTTTTCCATTATATCAAAACAAAACGCCTGCCGCCGTATTTCGTCCCCATCTCATAGCTCTTGGTGCTTTTCATATCTGAAGGAATAGTATTTATGTCGTTTCGATATTCGAAACGCTGTAGTGTGATCTATTCTTATTCCATCCTCAAGTTTCCTTGTGCTGATCTTTCCATCGTTCTCTTCCACGCACAATAAACCTTCCAAGTCGGTATCATTTCTTGCATCTTCTCTTTGTTCCTGCCTTGCTTCACATCTGCAGTTATTTATTAGGGTACCTTTGGTCTCAAATCTCTGGCTATTCCTTGCGATTGTAGATTTTCCAGGTATCGGTCTATTCGGATACAGAGCAGCAAACATGTCCCACACCTTTTGATAACTATTTCCTTGATCATCAATACTTTTTCTTCGGTAGTGTAATTCATGCGGCTAATATTTTCGATGTAGGTATGAGTTTTTAATAATAATAATAAAGCACTAAATAGATAAATTTCTGAAATGACAACTTCGTTTGACAGTTATCTTTTACCTTGACTGGTGCTCATAAGTAAATACAGGGCCATAAGAAAGGAGAAATATTTAAAAAGAAATCGGCGATAACTCGTAAACGGGTTAATCAAAAATATCTAAAGTTATTCTTTTGAATATGGGTTTTAGTGCTCTTCAATAAACCTAAATAGAATTATTCTCTAAAATAGTTAGGGAAGCCAATAATTGACCCCATTAAAATTTACATGGGATTTCCTATGTCCCGTCCGACGATGCAATACCCGGTATAGTTTCCTGGTCGGTTAAAAACATTGCCTGGAAACTTATATGGTGAAATTTTGATAAAATAATTTAGTACTCACTAAAAACACGGTATGTCGCTAGTGGTAGGAAAAATAATTTTTTGAGGTTACTAGTTTATTTGGTTGCCTGTGATATGCATATACAGAGTGTTTCCTAATTAATCTAAAAAATAAAGAATCGTTAGAAAACGGCTTAAATAGGCTCTTAATAAGTATATTTATTTCTTTCTCGGCAACCGTTTGATGAACAAGAAAAACTCAAAAGATCAATTTTGTTGAAAAAGGATGGCCAGTCAAGAAAAAATATATTTTCTTTAAAAAAGCAGTAGTATACCATTTATGTTAAGCAAAATATCGATTTTTTTTTTAATTTTTAACACCCTGTAGATCAGAAAGGAAGTACTTTAGACCTAATGGTTATATAAAAATTGTTTTAAGAACACATGAGGAATCACACCACAATTTTTTAGACTAATTAGAAAACACCCTGTATATTGTCAACTTGACAATGATTGTTGATCAATGAAAAAATACCTTTTCTGTGAAAAAGCCCGATTTTCGCAGGAAAAATTTTGGTTTTTATTGAATTTGGGCCTGCGTCTGCAAATACCGGTATGTTTTTTAATATTCTATTTATCTAAATTTTAAATATTATAGTCAGAAATAGTTTTATTATTTATTAACTGTAAAAATGATGTTTTCTTGTTGTGTTGCATCTTGCAAAGAAACTAACAAAACTGCGAAAATGTAATATATAATATATATATATATATATATATATATATATATATATATATATATATATATATATATATATATATATATATATATATATATATATATATATATATATATATATATATATATATATATATATATATATATATTCTTATGTTTATTAAAGTTACTCTGATATACTAATATATCAGTGTAACTTTAAAACTAAACTTTGAAATCAAATATAAACATAAAAAATATTTACAGCAGAAAAGGCGAAGGCGCTGGGTTAAACGTAGTCTCTACTAAGAACACGGAGGGGCGCTTTGACCCAAAATTTTACTATTAAGTTTCATATCTATCTTAATAGAAGATTATTTTCTTTTATCTATGGTTAAAAGCCATTGCCTGGAAACTTATATGGTGAAATTTTGATAAAATAATTTAGTACATACTAAAAACACGGTATGTCGCTAGTGGTAGGAAAAATAATTTTTAGAGATTACTAGTTTATTTGGTTGTCTGTGATATGCATATACAGGGTGTTTCCTAATTAATCTAAAAAATAAAAAATCGTTAGAAAACGAATTAAGCTGTACGTACACTGGTGCGATCACGGCCGCGATCACGATCAGGGCAGCAATAATATGAGCGATCATTCTAGCACACACCAACGCGTTCACGTTCACCGCCGCACCTATATGTAGTGAGCTATCCTGTAGGAATGATCGCTCATGTTATCGCTGCCCTGATTGTGATCGTGATCGCGGCCGTGATCGCGCCAGTGTGCGTACAGATTTAAGGTGGGCTCTTAATAAGTATATTTATTTTTTCTCGACAACCGTTTGATGAACAAGAAAAACTCCAAAGTTCAATTTTGTTGAAAAGGATGGCCAGTCAAGAAAAAAATATATTTTCTTTAAAAAAGCAGTGGTGTACCATTTATGTTAAGCAAAAAATCGATTTTTTTTTTAATTTTTAACACCCTGTAGATCAGAAAGGAAGTACTTTAGACCCAATGGTCATATAAAAATTGTTTTAAGAACACATGAGGAATCACACCATAATTTTTTTAGACTAATTCGAAAACACCCTGTATATTGTCAACTTGACAATGACTGCTGATAAATCAAAAAATACCTTTTCAGTGAAAAAATCCTGATTTTCGCAGGAAAAATTTAGATTTTTATTGAATTTGGGCCTGCGTTTGCAAATACTCGTTTGTTTTTAATTTTCTATCTATCTAAATTTTAAATATCATAGACAGAAATAGTTTTATTATTTATTAACTGTAAAAATGGTGTTTTCTTGTTGTGTTGCATCTTGCAAAGAAACTAACAAAACTGCAAAAATGTACGTGTTTCCAAAAGACGATAAGGTATGTATCTTAGATAAAAGAAAATATATGGTATTTATTCGTTTGATTTTTTTGTCGTTCGCTTTAAAATCTATAAATCTCAGTCTATTCATTAGACAGCCAGTCGACTTACGATCATTTACATGAACTCTGTAAAATAAATAAAAATAAATTGTAAAATATATATATATATATATTCTTATAGTTTTATTAAAGTTACTCTGATATATTAGTATATCACTTTAACATTTGAAAATAAATCCTTTGAATTCAAATATAAACATAAAAAACATTTACAGCAGAAAAGGCGAAGGCGCTGGGTTAAACGTAGTCTCCACTAAAAACACGGAGGGGCGCATTGACCCAAAATTTTACTATTAAGTTTCATATCTATCTTAACAGTAGATTATTTTCTTTTATCTATGGTTAAAAGCTGCCCCAATCGTATTTTTAAATGCTTTTTTTTGAAATGTAACGAGGATGGCTCATTAACATATTTGGAAAAATATATATCTAATATAAATCTAACTAACCAACAGAAAATCACGGAAATGTATATTTTTCACTCAGTAGTTTTATACAGGTACGGACGAAAATTTATTACTATTCGAATCGGTTAAAAAAATATGTAGTTGGCGCTGTCTACAAGTACGAGTTTTATTGACATCAAAATTAAGTTTCTCATGTCAAAAAGATCCCAGACGACAATTTTCATCCAAACATTGAATAATTTGGTACCACATAGTTGGTATTTCGAGTCAAACTGTTATACAGCCACTGCACTCTTGATTGAAATTTAAAATACTATTTTTTTTTATCAAAAATAT